GGGGCTGGGGGACCCCCAGGAGGGCCTGTCACCCCCCCCAGAGGGGACCCTCTGTCCCAGGCTGGGCATGTCCCCTCTTCTATGCCCCCGGGGTGGGGGACCCCTCTCAGCACCCCCCAGCCTGGCGGCCTGTCCTCAGGTGATGCCCCCCGTCTCCTCTCTCCTGGGATGGGGGATCCCTCTGGGATCCCTCTCTTCCACCCCCCACAGGGCTAGGAGCCTGTCCCCAGATTGATCCCCAAATGCCCTCACCGCGGCGGGGTGACTTTTGGGGGATCCCTCCCGCCCCCCTCCCCAGCCCCGGGGATCTCCTCGGTGGATCTTTCCCCTCTGGAACTGGGGGATCGTGTGGGTGGATCCCTGCGGGGGCCAGGGGCTGCTCTCTGGGTGGATCCCCCTCACACCCTTCCCTAGGGCTGGGGAGAGGTTCTCCCGGTGGATCCCCCCCGTTCCTCCTCCCCAGGCCTGGGGGCAGATCCCTGGTGGCGGTCCTCCTTGGCCTGCACGTGGATCCCCACCAGTGATCCAGCCTCACTGGTGATCCGCAGGGATCCGCTCCCTACGCTGCCACTGGAGCTCTACTGCTGCAGGATCCAGCTGGGCGGAGGGGGGGGGTGTCCCACACGGTGCCACCCCCACATGCTGGGGTAAACCCGTGCCTGGGCGGTTCGAGAGGCAGGAGCAAAGGCCCCATCGCTCCCGGCTGGGGTGGGAGGTCGGGCAGTGGGAGCTGCCATCGACCCGCGTTTTCGGGTGCCTGAGTGCGGAGGAGGGTGTGGTGGGAGGCAAGGAGGGGTGGGTGCCCCAGAAACTCGCAGTTCCCAGGGCGCCCTGGTCCCCCTTGCCGCTGCCACGGGATGAAAGAGGCAGCTTTAAACACCTTTTTAATCCCATTGCCTTGATGTGAATGAGCCCTGCCCTGCTTAATCACGCCCGGCGCGTCCCCTGGCTCCGGCCGTGCCGTCATCACTGCCTTAATTTTATCCGAGGGCCTTTCATCCCACAGGACCAGCCAGCTTCCCAGGCTGGCGGTGGGGGCTGTGCCCCGGCCCCCTCCCCGCGGGACTCTGGCCCATCCCGGCGGCGGTGGGTGCTGCAGCGGGGTGCACTGGCGCATAACCGCGAGGCGCAGGGCTGGCAGGACGTGCTGGCGAGCAGCCGGCTGATGCAATCCCGCGTCTGCCGGTGCTGGTGCCGTGGGGTCCATGGGAGGCTGCCAGGGTCGTGTTTGCCGTGCCCTGTTCCCTGGCTCTTAACCCTTTGTGTTTCCTGACTCTGGATCATCCCCTGTGGGTCTGATCCTGCCTGCAGATGGGGATGTCACCCTGTTGGGTTGACACATCCCTGGCGTTGGTGTGTCACTAATTTGGGCTGCCCTGTCAGGAGGGGATGGCTGTGTCCTGGGCTCTGCCCTTCCCAGCCCTGGTGTCACCAAGGGGGACCTCCCCTGTCCCCTCATCAAACAGCCTGAATCTCATCACTGCGGCCCCAGAGCCCTGGATCCACTCAGCCCTCAGTGCCTCCAGCCCGGCCTGGGGGTCCTGGTGGGGCTGTGGCCCAGTGCAGTGTCACACTGGGTTTTTACAAATGACACCTCTGCGTGGGAGCCCTCTGGTCCCCGCATCTCTGCCCCGCGTCATGGCCAGCCCCACACCACGCTCTCACACCATCAAACCTTCCCTTGTCCTTCTGAAATGCCTGGGGCTGGCAGCGATGGACATTCCTGGAGCTGCCATCCCCTCTCTTGCTCCTGCCTGAGGCTTCACACCCCCTCTTGGTGCCGGACAGGGATCCCAGCCTCCAATGCCACTCACATGGCTGGCTGACTGCTCCCTCCACTCTGCTTTCTAGGCAGGTTTCGTGCCGATAACTTGAACAAGCTGAAGAACCTGTGCAGCAAAACCATTGGAGACAAGATGAAGGTGAGGCATGAAGGCAGTCGGTCCTGGCAGCAATTCACTGGTGGGTCGTTACTAACTGGTGGCATCTCCCCTAGTTCTTTGCTTTCCAGGCCTCTCCCTCACATCACTGAGGAATATTTTTACCCTGGAGCTTTGGTCTTTAACCTTGCCATGGTTTCTTTCTCCTTCTGCTGCAGAAAAAAGAGCCAGTGGGGACGGACGAGTCCGTACCGGAGAGCGTGCAGAACCTCGACGAGCTCACAGCTGACGTCCTCGGGGTGAGTCTGACCCCATCTCCCCCCACTGTGCCACTGGCCAGCCAGTTTGTCCAGAGCTTTACCTTTAATTGCCCAAGTTGGTGGCATGAGGTGCCCAAAGCCCCAGCACCAAGCGAGGGGGGACTGCCTGAACTCCCTGCCAGGAGGATCCTTATTTCCTCCTGTCCCATGCCAGCAATAACCAGCTCTTGCTCAGTGTCCTTCATCTAAAGACCATTTTAGCCTTGGTCCATGGCAGCTCACCAGCCCAGGGCTCGTCCTGCGCTTCCCTGGGGAATTTGAGCAGCCTCAGTCATTACATGTCCTCTGCAAGTCCCATCCTCCCTGCCCGTTCCCTTTCCCAGTTCGTTAACCGTGATGTTTAATGAGCATGGCGTTGGCCGGCTTTTGGTGCCATGGGAGGTGACTGCTCCCCCTTGTCCCTGCTGGGCGCTGTGTGATGCCGTAGTTTGCTCAGGCCCTTTCAGAGCCTGACTTATGTTGGTCCTTTGTCCTCCGGGGCTGTTGTTTGATGTGTTCAGTCCACAGTTTCACTCCAGAAGCCGTGTCGGTGAGGCAAGGGTCCATGATTAACCGTGCTCAGCTGCCAGCCCCCCACTCCCCAGCAGTTTCTTCCCTTCCCCACCTCACCTGGGTCCCTGCACAGGCTTTGCAGGTATCCCAGATCAAGAAAGTCCGTCTCCTCATCGACGAAGCTATCCTCAAGTGTGACGCGGAGCGCGTAAGGCTGGAGGCAGAACGTTTTGAGAGCCTGCGGGAGATCGGGAACCTCCTCCACCCCTCGGTGCCCATCAGCAACGACGAGGTAGGGACAAGAGTGCTCCCAGAGCTGCAGGGCCGCTCAGGGCCGGCCGCAACGGTTCATCAAAGCTAGACAACTGCCAGCAAGCGGGGGGCTCACTGCAGGGAGGTCCCCCCAACCCAAGATCAGCAGGCGGGTGAATGAAATCTGCATGACAAGACAGGGTTTCCTGCTGGGAGCAGACAAAGAGCAGCTCAGACAACGCTGGACACGGCCATTGTTGGGGGAATACATGGGAAACTCGCTTCCAGCCGGGGGGCTGGGATCTCCCTCCACTGCCTTCATTCATCTGGCAGGAATATTTTGCTGGGGGAACACAATTGGGCTGGGCTGGCTGCCAAGTGGCCGCATAATAAGTGACCGGCTGGGATCAGACTGGGGTTCCAGGCTCTGTAGTGTGGGATCCCAAACTGGGCCCAGTGCAACATGGAGACTGGTGTCACCACCACCCTGGGGAGCTGAGGTGATGGGCTCCCCCTCCTCTTTGTCTTTGTGCAGGACGTGGACAACAAGGTGGAGCGGGTCTGGGGCGACTGCAGCTGCAGGAAGAAGTATTCCCACGTGGACCTGGTGGTGATGGTGGACGGTTACGAGGGAGAGAAGGGGGCAGTCGTCGCGGGCAGCCGGGGCTACTTCCTTAAGGTGCGAGCCCAGACCCCCATGGGGGCACGGAAACAATTGGAGCTGGAGGGAGAGCTGAGGGAAACGATGGGGGGGGGCAGGGGTCATGGCTTCTCCTCCCCTGAGATGAGCTTGCTGCAGTGATGGCAGCTTCTGTGGTGGCATAAGCTTGCGCTGAGCTGGCTCATCGTGTCGGACAGACTCTGGCCTCGGTGGTGCTGCCGGCATGGCCTGGGTAGCCTCCAGATCCACTCCAGCATCCCTGCCACACTCAAGAGGATGATGCTGAGCCTGGCAGACAGAACAGCCTGGAGCTGGCGTGGGCTCCACCTGCTCCCGGACCTGCTGAGCAAGAAGGGATGGCACAGTGTGTGTGACAGGCGGTGGCTTCCCTTGTCCCCCAGGGTCCTCTGGTGTTCCTGGAGCAGGCCCTGATCCAGTACGCCCTGCAGAGCCTCCGCACCAAGGGCTACACTCCTGTCTACACTCCGTTCTTCATGCGGAAGGAGGTGATGCAGGAGGTGGCCCAGCTCAGCCAGTTCGACGAGGAGCTCTACAAGGTGAGCGGCTCAATGCCTGCCAGGTCTCCGTGTCTCACCACCTGGCACCCACCGGCCCCTCCAGGCACCAGCTTTCCAACCAAGCCACCACCATGTGGCTTCCCCCGCAGGAGGGAGCCAGCTGAGATCCCCTCTGCCCGGCGAGGCCTCAGCAGCCCCCTTCTGCTCCCTATCTCCGGGGTCCATCTTCACGGTTGACGCAGTTGTCATGGCGATGTGGTGACGGGGAGATGGCTCGTCCCCAGCCTCACTGGCAGGAGGCCATTGGGGCTTTTGAAGGAGGCCAAACAAGCAGCAAACAGCAGCTGCTCCCTTTCCCGAGCTGTCCTATCCCTGCTCTGAGCGCCGGCCCCAGAAAGCCTCACTGCCTGTCCACGTGCAGGCAGGGAGAGCGGCTGCCTGCACATCTGCCAGGGACCGTCTGTCCCCGGAGGTGCAGGAGCAGCTGGGGAAAGGGGACGGTGGTTCTTGTCCCACCCCGCAGGTGATCGGCAAAGGCAGTGAGAGGGCCGACGACAGCTCCATCGACGAGAAGTACCTGATCGCCACCTCAGAGCAGCCCATTGCAGCCCTGCACCGGGATGAGTGGCTGAAGCCAGAGGATCTACCCATCAAGTACGCGGGGCTGTCGACCTGCTTCCGTCAGGAGGTGGGCTCCCACGGCCGCGACACCCGCGGCATCTTCCGTGTCCACCAGTTCGAGAAGGTGAGAGGAGCACAGCGGCATTCCCGCCAGGAATTTGGGGCTGTACCCAGGGCTGGCGCCATCTCGGGGTTCCCTTCTCTTTGCAGATCGAGCAGTTTGTCTACGCCTCACCCCACGACAACAAGTCGTGGGAGATGTTTGAGGAGATGATAGCCACGGCAGAGGATTTCTACCAGTCCCTGGGCATCCCCTACCACATCGTCAACATTGTCTCAGGTAGGGGCAGGGGCTTCCTCACTGCGTGGCACCAGGGCCACCTCTCTGTGCCGTGGTGGACCAGCCACCTCTGCCAGCGCCTCAGGTGTCACCGTGGCCCTGACCCACTTCCCAGCTCGGCTTTCTTTGTCCCTGCCTCGCTTTCCCGTGGTGTCTGTCCCCAGACGGCGAGGGGGAGGAGGTGTCCACCAGGAGTGGGTGTGGGCACTGCACCAGGCCAGGACTGTCCCCACTGTCCCTTCCAGAGGGACAGTTTGAGTGTCCCGACTCCTCCTGAAAACTTTCCCAGGAAAATTATCCCATTTAAACACCCCTTCCCAGCTTCCCTGCTGCAGCGCAGGAGCCTCACGTCACTTCCAAAGTCACCTCGGAAGCTTCACCCCTTTAGCCCATGCTGCCCTATAACGGGCACATTTAGGGCGGGGGGCAAGCAGGAGTGGGAGCCCCCCCCTGCTCAGTGCTGCCCCCCTGTCTCCCAGGCTCCCTCAACCACGCTGCCAGTAAGAAACTGGACCTGGAGGCCTGGTTCCCTGGTTCCGGCGCTTTCCGCGAGCTCGTGTCCTGCTCCAACTGCACCGACTACCAGGCACGCCGCCTGCGCATCCGCTACGGGCAGACCAAGAAGATGATGGACAAGGTGAGGTCGAGCTGCTGGGCTGGAGTCCGGGTGGAGGTTGCTGCTCATCCCCTCCTTGCCTTCGCCGTGTCACACCCCCCACTTTGCCGTATCCCTGCTGCAGGTGGAGTTCGTGCACATGCTCAACGCTACGATGTGCGCCACCACCCGCACCATCTGCGCCATCCTGGAGAACTACCAGACGGAGGAGGGCATCCGTGTCCCGGAGAAGCTCCGAGACTTCATGCCCCCAGGTAATGCCCAGCACCCTCCCTTCCCCACCCAGCCTGGGGGGGTGTGTTTGTGGGGGGGTCCCAGTGGCCCCCCTACATCTCCCTCCTGCCAGGCTGGGGGGGTGTGATGCATGGTGCCTGCTCTCCCCCCCCTCCCCAGACCTCCGGGAGCTGATCCGGTTTGTGAAGCCGGCCCCCATCGAGCAGGAACTCTCCAAGAAGCAGAAGAAGCAGCAGGAGGGGGGCAAGAAGAAGCCGGGGGGGGGAAGCGAGCAGGTGCTGGAGGAGCAGATGCAGAACATGGGTGTCAACAGCGCCTGAGTCCTGGGCCCCCACCCCGCGCCACCCCCCCACCAGGGACCTTCGGGGCCTCCTGAATCATCCTGCCTTCATCGCCGGCTGGGGCTGCGCCCATCACCTTCGCTTCAGGGCCCGTCTGTGGCAGGGAGCTGCCGGTCAACGCCTGGCCTCCCCCCCCCCCCCCCCCGGGCCCCCCCCCCCCCTGGGC